AAGTTTACAGGGCATATCATCAGTTTCACATTCAACCATTCATATAACTTGTTTCATTACATTGATTATAATTCCCTCCATATACCATGGGTTAAAAGTATTTCTATCCACTTTAGTTTTTTAAAAAACCCACTCAGGCATATATAATAATTTACATCTCCAAAGAGCACATTCTGCAAGTCTGCTCCTGACCACCAGTTCTTAGTCCTTCTCTTCTTAGGTGATGAATCTAGAGTCCTCAGCCACTACCCACTCCATGTCCCCATCTCTGCCTCCATCTCTGGCACTGCTGCTTCTCTGGATAAAGTCCCACACTCTGCTTGTGCGCTTCTCTCTTGATGGTCCTAGGGTCCTCTGTTTCTGGACTGTAAGATTAACTACTTCCCTTTTTTTGTTATAAAACGTCTACCTTTACAATTGTGACAGTCGCAATTAGTCATGATAACAGTTATTCACTATTGAATCTTACAAATCTTTTCCCCATCTCCGTTCACCAGATCCATCTATATAAGATAATAGCTATTCAGTGGGGACTCTTTCTTTCCCCCAACCCTCTTAAACTAAGCTCCCTCTTGAAATCTTGTAAGCCAATCACTTCGTGCCTTTATTGCCCCCTCATTTTAGGTATCCAATGTCTAAGTTGCTCAGTGTCATAATTTAAATACATCAATTCTTCTATAATTTTCCTTATTCAGACCAACTTTCACATGCATATGAAGCAATTAAAAATACCATGATCTGGATCAGGCACACCTTAGTCTTTCAAGTGACCTCTTTGCTCTTTAACATTTTAAAGAGGTCTTTTGTAGCATGTTTGCCTAATGTAGTATTTCCTGATTGCTGTTTTAATGATTGTTGATAGTGGATCCTAGGCTTTGGCAACTCCAAATTTTTCTCCATTTATCATGATGCTATTTACTGGTCCAGTTGTGAGGTTTTCTTTTTCTTTATATTGAGGTGCAATCCATACTGAAGCCTGCAGTCTTTAATTTTCAGTAAGTATTTCAAGTCCTCTTCACTTCCAGTAAGCAAGGTCACATCATCTGAATATGTGTTTGAATTTTTTAAGGTGTTTACTTCATGGCCTGCAAAAATCCTAAACAATCTAAGATTCTTCCAATCCTGATGCCACATTTTTCTTCATATAATCCAGTTTTTCAGATTATGCTTAGCATACAGATTAAGTAAATACGGCAAAAGGTTGCAACAGTGGCACATACACACCCTGATAGTAAACATTCAGGATCTCCTTGTTCTGTTCTAATGACTGTCTTTTAGTCTATATACAGGTTTCTCATGAGCACAATTAAGTGTTCTAGAATACACATTTGCAATGTTATCCATAGTTTGTTATGATTCACACAGTCTAATGCCTTTGCATAGTCAATAAAGCACAGTTAACTTCTTTCTGATATTCTGTACTTTCACCCAAGATCCATTTAATGTCAGTAATGATATCCCTCATTCCGCTGCCTCTTCTCAGTCCACATTGAATTTCTGGCAGTTCCCTGTCCATGACCTGCTGAGACCACTTTTGAGTTATCTTCAGCAAAATTTCACTTGCATGTGATAGTAATGATATTGCTCAATTATTTCCACATTCGTGTGGAATGGGCACAAATGTGGATCTCTTCCAATCCCTTGGCCAGGTCTTCCAAATTTCTTGGCATACACGAGTGAGTGCTTCCTGCACTACATCAGTTTGTGGAAACATTTCAATTTGTGTCAATTCCTGGAGTGTTGTTTTTTGCCAATGCCTTCAGTGCAGCTTGGACTTCTTCCTTCAATACTCTTGGTTCTTGATTACATATTACCTCTTGAAATGTTTGGACATGTACCCATTATTTTTTGGTTCAATGACTCTGTGTATTCCTCCCATTTTCTTTTGATGCTTCCTGTGTCCTTAATTTTTTTGTCCATAGAATCCTTCAATATTATAACCTATGGCTTGAATTTTTTTTCTTCATTTTTTTCAGACTAAGAAATGCTTAGTATGGTTTTTCTTTTGGATTTTCTAACTCCAGGTCTTTGTACATTTCATTATATTACTTTACTTTGTCTTCTTCAGCTGCCCTTTGAAATTTTTGGTTGAGCTCTTTTACTTTCTCATATCTTCCAATCTCTTTAGCTTGTCTACATTTAAGAGCAAGTTTCAGAGTATTTTCTGACATCCTTTGTCATCTTTCCTTTCTTTTCTGTCTTTTTAGTGACTTTTGCTTCCTTCCTGTATAATGTTCTTGATGTCATCCCACAACTCTTCTGGTCTTTTGTCATTAATGTCTAAT